GCCCTGAACACCTCCTGGAAGGCGCGTCGGAAGTTCTCGTTGAAGTAGCCGTAGATGATGGGGTTGGCGCTGCTGTTGAAGAAGGCCAGCCAGTGCGCCAGCGGGTACACGTAGACGGTGAGCAGGCGCAGCTGGGCCTCGCTCAGCTGCCCGTAGTCCGTCAGCAGCATCAGCGTCCAGAGGGGCAGCCAGGAGACGCTGAAGAAGAGGGCGACGATGATGAGCATGTTGATGACTTTGGCCTTCCTCCGGGAGATCCTCCTCCCCTCCGGCTCCTCTCCGCCCTGGGCGGGCGCCACCGACTTGAAGAGCTTGAAGGCAATGCGGGCGTACATGACGACAATGAGGGCGAGGGGAGCCACGTAGATGTGGGAGAAGAGGACGGTGGTGTAGATCCTCCTCATGCCCGTCTCGGGCCAGGCCTCCCAGCAGGAGTAGAGGGGGTAGGAGTTGTTGTAGGTGTCCACCATGAAGTGGTGCTCCTCCCTGGTGACAGTCAGGGTGACGGCAGCCGGGCACATGATGAGCAGGGCCAGCACCCAGATGACGGCGATGGTCAGCAGGGCTTTCCTCAGCGTCAGCTTCTGCCGGAAGGGGTGGACGATGCAGCGAAACCTGGGGGGGAGAACAGCTCATGGTGGCTTTGGGCACCTGGTGGGGACATCCCTGGGGAAGGAGGGCGGCCAGGACCCAGGAGTGGGAATGGAGGGTGAGGTGGATGTGTCTTTACACGTGTCTTTTGGGGGCAGAGCTGGGTTGGTGTGTTCATCCCAGTGTGGGGAAGGACACCTTGCTGGAATGCCTCATGGACAGCTTTGTGGTGCTCCTGGGGAGCTGTGACAGGTTCCTGACATTCCCAGGAGCTTTCCTGCAATGGCAACGGCACAGGGCACCTGGACCTGCTGGAGATGGTTTGGTCCCCATGTCCCCATGCCCCCATGCCAACGTACCTCTCCACAGCGATGGCCACCAGCGTGAAAACCGAGGCGGACACGGACATGCCCTGCACCAGCCCGCTCATCTTGCACATGGTGTTGTCAAAGGGCCAACCTGTGAGGGGACACCACGCAGGCTGTGGGTGCCTCTGGCTCACCCAGCTCCCTTCAGGTGTCCCCACCCACTGGGTTGCTGCTGAGGGATGCTAAGTCCTGCTCCCAGCTGGTGTGGAGATAGCCTTTAGCGGCATGGATCCTTGAAGAGGAACCCCAAAATTGGTAAAAAAGATACACGTGACACTTAGAGACTCAAGGAACATGGTGGCTGTCATTTTTCCTACAGACTTTGGGACCCTCAATCAGAAGGACTTTCATCTTGTTTCTTGACCGCAATACCAATAAATAAATAAATCACACCCCAAAATCAATAAATACAAACCCTGCCCTATGGCCTGGCTGCTGCTGCAGCTGAACCCTCCCAACTCCCTTATCTTTGGAAAGGTCAACAGGCAGAGCTGAGCCAGCACAGGAAAAGGTGAATGCAGAAGGGAGGTTTTTTTTTAACGTTGCTTCAAACAAATATGCAAATGCAGCATTAGGGCCAAACTTATTTTACCACAAATGGCCTGAACCTCAAAGAAAAATTAAAAAAAAAGTCTTTTCCCTTCCTCTGCCCCGCTCACCTGTGATGAGGTTGTCCACCAGGGTGGTGGGCATGCAGAAGATGCCCACCAGCAGGTCGCTGATGGCCAGGTTGAGGAGGAACATGTTGGTGACCGTGCGCATCTGGCGGTTCTTCACCACCACGAAGCACACCAGGACGTTGCCGACCACGCACATGAGGAAGATGAAGGTGTAGGCCAGGATGAACATGAGGGCCACGGGGGAGGAATGCTGGTAGTACGCCAGGAAGGTGTAGTTCTCCCTCGGGAGGTGGCTGGCGCTGGAGTTGGGCCACCAGGTGACATTGGAAGGGCCTGGGGAAGGGAAGGCAGGAAAATGAAGCTGGGAGAGAATAAAGCAGTAATTCCCTTAATTTCTTAATGCTTCCAGAGGGGGATTTCTGTATTTATTCCAGTGCCCAGACTGGCTGGGACATGTCCTGCTGGACTCTTCTTTGTGCCCCAACAAGTCTCCTCCTCCTTGGGTTACTCAGCTCCAGGCTCTGCAGCACCTCTGCTGAATTATTCTTTTACATCATTGTTGTTTGATACCATCAATTTCATTAATTTTTTATAAAATCAATATCATTATTATTAGATACAATTATTGTTTGATATTATTATTACTGGATATCATTATTATTGGTATCATTCTTTTAGAATTAGAACGGCCCAGAAGACATCCTGATCTCGTGGGCCTTTTTTTTTACTTAGGGATGATGCAAGGAAGACAAATCCACATCCTGACACTCCAGTGCTCTGGCCTTATGGGAGCAGCATCTGTGTGGTCCCAGCCACGGGAGCATCCCTGCTTCTCCTTGTGCTTCCAAGGTTTACAATTCCATATTCCACAAAATCTTATTCTCCCCGGCGAAGCTGCAAGAACCCGGGGAGAGGAGCTGGGGCAGAGAACACCCTCCCCTCCCATCTAAAGCGATAATTGTCATTCTGATCATTATCTAGTGGAGGCGGGGGTGGCATTTTGTCACTGGGGACTGAGCGGGGAGCGGGGCTCGGCAGCTCCCACCCTCGGGCATCCCCAGCCGCTCGGGGATGCGGGAGGATGCGGGGCGTGGGCAGGAGCTGCCTGCAGCGCTGACGGGACCGGCTCCGGGAGGATCCGGGCTGCAGTGCTGAGCCGAGGAAAGGCACATCTGAGCTTTGAGCTCAGCCTGAGCGCCTGCAGGTCAGCCCTGGGCGGCTGGAGCATCCCCCATCCCTGAGTCCATGACGGTGCTCAGCTCTCCAGCCGAGATGCTTTTCCAGCCCCCGGGACCAGCGGCTTCCTCAGGGTTCGGGCAGGCAGGAGGGCCCGATCCAGCCCCCGATACCCCAGTCCTGGGCTCAGGATTTGGGCAACACATTTCCAGTGGGGATTCAGAAAGGCGCTGATAGGGGACTTGCAGTCGACACGGGCGAAGGAGCCTCTTGGAGAGGAAAGGGAGTAGCAGGATGGAGGGGGCAAGATTCTCCAGATAGTCGGTATCAGATGTGTGAACCAGCTCTGTAAGCAGGAGCAATAGCAAAGACTGCAATGAGATTGCCCAAAACCTGTGATATTAAGCCTAAAACTTTGCTGGACTTTATCTTTTGGGGCTGCAGTGCAGCATGAGCAGGAGGTTGGTGTCCTGTGGAATTGGATATGGTTTTAAAGCAAGGTGGAAGATGGGGAAAGGAAAATAAGGAGCTGCTGAGCAGCCGGGTGGGTGCTGGATGGGTGAGTGAGTGGATAGATGGATGAATGGGTGGAGGATGAATGGGGGCATGAATGGGTGGGTGGATGGATGGATGCAGGCGTCCTCAGCACTCACTGACACCTCGGACGTGGTGACAGGGATGGGGGGACCGCACGGAGGGTGATGGACCACCCGCATTCCCTGCCCAGGGAAAGCACCGCGGGGAAAGGCTGGTCTGATGGAACAGGGACGGGATGAGGAGTGGATCGCTTTTTTGGGGAATAAAATCAATCAGGTCTTGGCACTCACCTCCGCCGGGCCGAGCCGGCTCCGGGGGCTGCATCGCTGCCGTGCAGGGGATGCGCTGCCCGGGGAGGGGGCACGGCTCGCCCGCTCCGTGCCTCGCTCCGTGCCTCCCGCCCGCTCCGGAGCCCCGGTGCCGCTTGGCGCCGGTTGCGGCTGCTCGGCGGCTGCAGCGGAGGCGGGGAGGGGGCGCGGGGGGAAACACCTCCCTCCCATCGCCATGGATACCGGGGGACCCGCACGCTGCCCCCCGGGAGAGGCGGCGCGGGGGCGGGCAGCCCACGCCGGGCACGGGGACGGAGGGAAGGAGCAGGTTCGCCCCCATGGCGGGTCCCGGTCTGTGTCCCCCCGCTGCCGCCGAGGTCCCCGCAGTGATGCTGGCAGCTGATGGCCGGTGTCCCCAGCAGCGCTCCTGGCCATCGCGGGAGGAAAATGAGCCTCAAGACGAGTGGGGGGATCCCCCATGCATCAATCCACCAGAGGGAGAAGCAGCGCGATGTTCAGGGATGCTGGTCTTGGCTTCAGGCTGCTCCGCTCAACCCCAGCTCCTCCAGCATGACTAACATCTCTTACCATAATCTTGTGCCAAAGCTTGGCAAGTCTAGAAGTCAAATATTTACAGGATTTACCATTCCTGGCTGTCCCCAGCCCGCACACACCATTGGGAAGTGTTTGTCCCTTAAACACCCAAAGGAACGAACAAGGGAGATGTTTAAACAAGGCGTTTGGAGACAACACCTGGGGTTTCTCCCAGGAAGTTTTTGGGTTTTTTTGCAGGCAGCCAGCTGCTAAGGGACATGGGTGTGCTCGGCAGTGTCCTGCCTGCCACCGAGAAGGCACTCTCTCCAGGACATTTCTTCCTGGGAAGGGATCAGCACAACTTGAGGACCCACAGCACCAGAGAGGTGGGCACACACCTCTGGGGACAGCCACTGGCTTTGGGTCACTTTGGCTTCCACGGTGAAACACAGGAGGGAAGAAAAGTTCCTTGGAAAACAAGGAATATTCCAGGGAAATACTGCTTGGGTCTGGGAGAATCCAGCCTGGAGGCTGCAGAGAGCAGCTGTGCAAAGGGGCTTCTCCAAGGACAAGGCTGGTAATTGGAATTTAATCAGACACAAAGCCCCCGATGTAACAGGAAAGCATTTAATCAGGCACTTGGCACACCACCACCGTGTCAGCAATTCCAGGGAGAGCCCTTCCAGCTGCAGGGATGTCCTCCACCATGCCGATGGTCTCGGGTGGGAGAGCTGCACATCCAGATCCCCCCACTCCACCCCAACCTCCCACCCCACGTGTTGCAGCTCCTCTGTACCCACAAAACGCATAAGCAGGAGATTGCCTGGCTCGGGATTTGGCAGAGCCATCCCTCCACGGGAAAAACGAGGCACAGGCTCGGGTTTGGGACCCGCTTTGGGGCAGAAACGGGGGAGCAGCAGGGACTGAGCCGAGCCAAACCCCTGTGGTGGGCAGCTCCCCCTGGGGACAGCTCGGGCACCCGGGGGTGCTGCCGGGATTCAGGGATGGATGGGCTCCTCTGGAGACAGCAGCAGCTCGAAGGGAACCAGGGGCCGGACCAGCAGCCGCACCTCGGGGCCCACGGGGTTGGCTCGCAGGTTGAGGCTCCGCAGCAGCGCCATGGAGGCCAATTTGTCCGTGGGCACCTCTGGAAAGAGAGCAGGGAGGTGAGAATCCGTCCTGGAGGGGTGGAGGGGTGAAAGCTCCTCTTGATGGACAGCCTGAAGCAAACCTGATACAGGATATATTTAATATTTATATTTATATTTATATCTATATCTATATCTATATCTATATCTATATCTATATCTATATCTATATTTGTATCTGTATCTGTATCTAATCATTACAGTTATAGTTATTATAGATATATAATATATAATTAATATAGTGTAATGTAATGTAATGTAATGTAATGTAATGTAATATAATATAATATAATATACTATAATATAATATAAATAACATAATATATAATATATAATATACAATATATAATAATATATCATATATATACAATATATGCATAACATAATATGTAATATATAATATATAATATATAATACATAATATATAATATATAATATATAATATATAATATATAATATATAATATATAATATATAAAATAGAAATATAATATTTTATAGTATATATTATATAATACGATACATAGTACATAATACATTATATATTATATATTATATACTATATACTATATACTATATACTATATACTATATATTATATATATAAGTATATCTATACCTATATTTAACCCAAATTATTGGGTTAAAACATGTGAGAAATTATAGCGACATCTGCATTAGTATTTGGTACGTTTGTAATGTAAATTGTTTTATTATGGTGAGTTAGGTTGTAAGTTAATTTCGGTTGGTTGTGTTTTGAAACATTTTGTTTAAAAGATTTTAGGATTTGAGACAATAAATGGCACAGACATAATTGAGTTTTTCGGAAAGTTGTTTTGTTTGGGTGTGTTTATGGGTAAAAGAAATGTAATAGTTATAGGTGGTTTTGGTGGAATTACTACAGGAATATAAATGTAAGAGATAAAATTATGAATTTTTTAATAATTTATTGAAATAATGGTGGGAAGGATTGAAAGTTTAAAAATTCTGCTGTTGGCTTTGCTTAGAATTAAAAAAAAATGGTTTTGTTGAAAAAAATTGGCAATTTTGGTGGGAATGCTTTCATAACAAAAATTATTTAAAAGGTGTATTAATTTTGAGAAGGCTAATTTGAATTTTGAATTTGAGGGTATTGAGTTGGGATTATTTGAGGAATGGTTGATTGAGGGATAAATGATTGAGGTATTAATATTATTTGATTGGGTAATTGATTGTAAGGAGGTACCACTACTTGTGTTGAGGCATGGTGGTAATTTGAGGGGGTTTTTTGAATTTAACAACAAAGGTTTGCTGTTGATGTTAAGCCTGTCTGCAGGCTTTGATCGAAACAGAAAGACAATGAAATATTAATTTATCCAACTGCTCAGGCAAATGTTTGGTAAACATAGAGTTTTTTTCCAACCCAAATGATCCTGGGGTTCTGAGGAATGTGTCAGGGAGGTGCAAACACCCAGATGTGCAGTGTGGGCACTGCCCCCCAGTTCTCCAGGGTAATAAAATCCCTGCTGGGACACGGGACTGGGATTCAAAGCCCTTTCCCTGATTTTCTCCCCGGTGTTGCAATGCCCAGGAGCCCTCTCCGGGCTCACAGGAAGGCTCGTGGTCTTTGCCCTGGTTGGACAGGCTGCAAATGGCTCTCAGCCACCCACGGGCCCCCTTCTGTTCTGCAGTTTCCACGAATTTGGGTGTTGGCCTTTAGAAAACACGACATTTACAAACTGTGTTTAAAAAAAAAGGGTGCAGCTCAGCTTGATGGTCCCAGTGCGAATCCACTGAGGCTGATATGAAAACCTAACCCTAATTAAGCTCATTAAAAGATGATGGATTTTGCTACAATTCACAATATTTTGGGGCTAGCAACGCCCACTTGTCTGATTTACCTAAACCAATTTCTTCTTTAATTTGGCCACCAAAATAACAAGAGCCTTTTCCACCCCAGCTCTTGTTTCCTCTGCCAGAACCTGGAGCAGAATTGCAGTGTTGTAATTATATCTGGTAGATGGTTATGTGATTTTTAAACCATTAAATTTATTTTATGCTGGAAAAAGAATCAAACACTTTGATGCCTTTGTTTTTCCCCCTCTTTCTCCTCTGGAAAATGGTGATATTTTCCATACACAAATTCCCTAGGAGAGCACAGCTCATCAGGCAGAGCTTCACATGAATTTTTTTAATAACTCTTCACGGTGGATTTGTTCACTGCCATTCCCCCGTTTCATTTTGCTTGGATTTTTTTCCCCTTGAAGCACAAAAGTAATATATTTTGCCTCATACATCTCCCTGTTTAATCATGGCCTAATGCAGTGGAGAATAAGAAGTTTAATCATCCTCTTACGCAGCATGATAAAGTTAAGAGTGCTTTCACCCATTTTGCTCAGATTAGGGAGTTTAGTGAAGTGTTCTGGGGACCAAGACCTTCCCAGGCTGGGAGCAGCTCAGCTCTGCACCTCAGTTCCAGGTGAGGAGCAGTGACTCAGCCTGGCATGAAGGGACAGGCAGGGCAGCCTGTAGCTGTAGGGTTGTGCCCTGCCAGCCACAAATTCCTCCAAAAACAACCCAAAACTTCCCTTGCTGCCTTCCCAACAGATAAGGCACTTGCATTTGAGCCTGAATTATTCATGCAGGATTTTAAGCAAAAGACAGGGAGGGAAAAGGCTTTTTTTACATAATTAAAGCAGAATGTGACATGGTCTGGGTTGGAAGGGACCTTAGAGCTCATCCAGTGCCCTCCTGGATGGACAGAGGGACAGCTCCCACTGCCCCAGGCTGCTGTAAGCCCCATCCAGCCTGGCCCTGGGCACTGCCAGGAATGCACAGTGTCTCTGTGGCAGAATTTCTTCCCAATGTCCCATCTAGCCCCACTCTGAGTTGGAAACCATCCCCTTTGTCCCATCTCAACATCCTCAGGAGGACAAAATCAACCACAGCTGCCCCAGCAGTGATGTCCCCAGCATTGGCAGCAGCCTCAACATCATCCCTATTAAACCATTAATCAAGGAATAAGAGAAGGAGAAGCTGAAGCTCCAGGCACCAAAACATCCCCATGGATTTGGGAGCTTTAAAAGCTGATTTGACATAACTCTAATTACCAGGGAAAGAGTTAAAAGCACTGACAGTAATATATACATAATTACAGTCCAGGGTTAAGAGCTTATTTGGATGAAAAGGGTGGCTTGTGGCACTAAATGTCTCCCTTCACAGAGCCCACAGGCTCCAGGCAGGCGTTAATTAATCTCCTTTCACTCTTGTTTCCCTTTGGAAAACATCACCCACCACCTCCAGCTCCATTTGTCTTAGCAAGAGTCACTCAGCTCTTTCAGCAGGAAATTTCAAACGGGGTTTGCAGCCCTGGCAGGAGCCTCTCAGCACCCCTGGCATGGCACAGGGGCACAGGCAGCACCAGCACTGGCACAGCACCCCAAACCAGGGCACGGCAGCCCTGCCAACACCAGCTCACCTGCAGGGAACCTGCTTGGGAAGGGCTGGTGGCAGCAGTGCGATCGCCCGGGGTTTTGTTTCCTTGGAAAACAGGGGCTGAACCCCCCTGGCCTTCCTGTGTCTTCCTCTCCCCTTTCCAGGGAATGTGTGAGATAGGCTCACATCACCCATTTCTGCAGCCAGGCAGCATCATGTGCACTACTCACACATGTCCCTACAACAGCTTGGCTTGGAATTGTCAATTTTTACTCTGCTTTTATTTTCCCCACATCTGGAGGACACCTCCCATCCGAGGGGAGCCTGGTGGGAGGTGACCAAACCTGGCTTGGGAGGTGACCAAACCAAGAGAGGCCACCCTCTCCCCCAGCTTGGGTGCAACCCTGCGTGCAGCCTTTCCTCCCTGCATTTTAGCTTTCAGGGAAAAAGGCACCAAAAAGCTGCATTCCCTCCTTGCAGCACCCTGCTTCCACAAAACCAGCGGGGGAAAATGCAGTTTGGGGATCAGCTTGGGTTGAAATCAGCCAGCTGAACTCAAAAAGTGACAGAGGGAGCTAAAAGCGAGACAGGAGGCAGGAGAGAAAAAGAGGGTGAGGAAAAGCTGTGTCTTTCTTTCTCTGGCTCCTGTGGAAGCAGATTTTAATTCCAGTGTTTCTGCAGGCACAGGTGGGGAGCAGCTGATGTGAGGCTGGCAACAAACCTCCTGTTGCAGGGAGCAGTTTCCCAGCAGCAGCTGAAGCAACCCCAGATAAAACAGCAAAATTGAGTGGGCTCCGAGATTCGCCTCCCTGGGGCTCCGTGGGGCTGTGGGATGCTCCAGCCTGGGCTCTTTGAAGGCTGCCTGCTAAATAAATTCACTTTTATCTGTGTACAACAGCTGCCCCTTTTTGCTCAGCTTTCACAGACTCCAAAGCCTTCAGTTTTTTTGCACATGAACAATTTTTCTGCCGCTGCAGGGCTGAGGGATGAGCGGCTCTTGCCATTCCTTTAATTTAATTTTTAGGGGATTTTGTAGTGTTAAACAGCTGCTGTTTGTTCTGGGAAATGTTCAGGTGTTCTTGCTTAGCCTGGCAGCAGACTGGGGCTGGGTTCTGCAGTCAGATCTGGTTTTTTAATGAAATCCGAGGATTTTGGGGTCACCCCAGCTGGAGGTGCCTTTAGGAGCTACATCCCAGCGTGGTGAATGGGGCAGCTTGAATGGGGCTTGGCTCCCACCGTGCCTGCAGCAGCTTTGCCCTGGGAAAGGCAAATTTCCTTTGCTGGGAAAGGCAAATGGCTGAGCAGGCTCTGATTATTTAGCAACAGCCCTGGGTGATGCTGGTATAGATGGATAATGAGATTATTGGCTCTTGCAATCAAAGGATAACTATTGTGTGAATATTAAGAGAAGCTTCAGTGGTGTATAAATACGTTATTATAGTTTAGATGTTCTCTGCTCTCCCCACAGTTCCCTCTCCCCCCTGTATTGCTGCCATCAGACAGCCTGGGGTGTCCAGGACAGATAGAGAGGAGGCTGCACATGTGCCCCTGGCATGGGGCAGCTGGGAATGGAAAAGCTTGCTGCTTTTAGGGGGTGGACCCCATATCCAGTTACAAAGCAGTCTGCACTCCTAAATGGCAAAGAAGAGCTGACAGACAGACTTTGGGAGGGGCCAGGGCTGGCCGATGCAACCCCCAGGGGTATAAAGCACTGAGCTTCCCTCTTGAAGATGAACTGGCCCATGAGGGGCAGTTCCCAGCACTGCAGCTTTTTCCTTATGTGAAAAATGTGTATTTTATGATTGGCTTTTCGCAAATATTCAAATGAATATTATATGTATTGTGTTAGAAAGTTATGCTGTATTAATTTTCTTAAGTAGTGTGTTAAATATAGTTTTAGGTTATAACAAAATGTTAAAATAGAAACTATGCTGTGTAAGACACTTTTTCTAAGAAAGGACTCACACCGAGATAGCAGCCACAGGACACCTAAATCTTCCAGAGAAAGAGAAGTTATTGCTCCATTATCAGGAGAAACGAACTCCTTCCTGCCTCTTTCAGCCCTGAAGATGCCCTTAGGATTCAGAGGAAGAAGTTGACACTGCCCAGACAGAATCCTGTGTTTGAATGGAATTTATGCATCATGGATGAGGTGTATGAATATGCAACAGGCTGTTGCTTTTAAGGGTTAATCCTCTGTTAACGTGGGTTATTTTGCCCAGAAAGAGGTACCTGGACTGTCTGTAACTCTTTGTTTTTATTGTCTCATATTGTCCTAATCCAAATTGTCCAAATTATTATCAGTCTAATTACATTACTATTTTTGTAACCATTTTATTACTATTAAACTTTAAAAATGGAAAAAGAACAAGTGATTGGCGTTCTTCACACTTATGCAGTCCGTTTGTTCTATTTTTGTTAAGGTTTAACAAACCTCTTTACATTTCCAAAGCCAGCAGTCGTTTCTCACAGTGCTAAATCGCCTTTTTCCAGTGGGAAAAGGTCTCTCCTCACCTGCGATCTCGTTCTCCTCCAGGTCGATGCTCTCCAGGGCGGGCACGGTGGCCAGGGGCTCCGGGAAGCGGCGGAAGCGGTTTCGGGAGAGGTCGATGGTGCGGAGGTGCAGCAGGGACGTGATCTCCTCGGGCAGCCGGTGCAGGTAATTCCCTGCCAGGTTCAGCTCTGGGAACAGAGAAGGGAGGTGGTGGGATGCTGGGAAAAAGGTGGGGAAATAACTGATGTACAGCTTGATTCACAGCCTCTGGCCTCAATCCATCAGTGGGATTCCAGCTCCAAAAAATTGGGCTTTTTAATTTTCTTTCTTTCTTTTTTTTTCCTGTTTTCCATGGCTGTCATTGTAGATTTGCCTGCTGGGAATGCCACATTTAGGAGCAATGCTTTCCTAATGAAATTGTGCAGCCTTTTGCAAGCAGAGTCTGTAAAAAACAAGGAATATTTCCCCATAAACTCAGCGCAATTACCTCCCCAATGGTCATTTGTCATGGCTTAAGGCTAGCCCTCTGCATTCATGTGCCTGAACCCCTTCTGAGCAATAAACAGAATGGTGGGAGAGAGGTCTTTAGCTGTGAAAAATACCTGTTTGTCACAGTTTACCCATCTGTGATGCTTTCCCGCCCCAGAAATGAGCTCCTGTGGGGCCAGGAGCAGCACTCCGGGCACAGAACCCAAATCCCGCTGTCCCAGCGCCCTTCTCCGGTGACACGGGGCTTTCTGCACTATAAATACCCACACAAGCCGCCCTGCCCCTGCTAATACCTGGTATTTATAGGTCCTGCCTTATTCAGCCTGTCCCCAGCCCTGGGGCATCTGTTCCTGCTGAGACCCAGCACAGCTCATCGCAGGAGTGAATGGTCCGCTGGTGGAGAAAAAGCCCTTGCTGGGAAGCAAAGTCATTTTTTTTCCCCTTCAGGGCTGGTTGTGCTGTCTAGAAAATGGAAATTGATTCCTTTGGTGCATGTGTTTCCTTTCCCCAGCCCAGGGGTGCTCTCACAGACGATGCTGCAGCTCCAGGACAAGGGAAACCTCCCCAGGCACCCATCATAGCGGCATTTGTGTGGTACCTCATAGGAATCAAAATTGATTTTAGAAGCGGCCAGAGCATCCCCAGCGCCGCCCTCAGCGCTCAATCTCGCGGTGTTGGATGCTCTGGATGCTTGCATGGCCATTTTCTATCGGATTAGCCTCGGGCTGCCTTCTCCGGGAGGTGTCCCCCCGCGCTGATGATCGCTCCCATCTCCTGCAGTGATTAGCTCTCATTGATGTCGCACTACGAGCACTAATTAGTCGGCGCAGCCGGGATTGTCATGCCTCTGTTGTTATCCCCAAGCTGCTTTTCCTGTTCTCCATCCCTGGAGGGATCTGGGGGTGCTGAGTGACCCCACAGCAGCCTGAAACCAGTTTGGAAGGGTGGGTGAGAGCAGAACCGGTGTCCTCGTCCTTCAAGGGGCGGAAGGTACAACCAAAAATGGATTTTTTGGGGTCAGAACTAGCGCTTGCAACGAGGTGTGAGCTCAGGGGAGACTCGTGGCCGCTTTGCCCCCTCTGCAGCAATCTGGGGGCTCCTGGCGTGCCCCGGAGGGTTGGAATGGCAGGGCCTTACCTCTCAGCTGGCTGAAGGTGGTGACAAACCGGCTGGTGATGGACTTGAGCTCATTGTTGGCCAGGGAGATGCGGTGGATGCCCTCGGTGACGCTCCTCACGGCTTTGTAGACTCCAACAGGGAAGGACATCAGCTTGCAGTTGGCCAGATCTGCGCACACAGAGACCCAGGTGTGACCGTGTTCCCAGGGGTTTTCGGATGAGGGAAGAGATGAGGATCTGACTCCATGTTACAGAAGGCTTGATTTATTATTTTGTAATATATATTACATTAAAACTACACTAAAAGAATAGAAGAAAAGATTTCATCAGAAGGCCAGCTAAGAATAGAATAGAAAAGAATGACAAGGAAGGCAGCTGTTTAGGACTCTCTGTCTGAGCCAGCTGGGCTGTGATTGGCCATTAATTACAAACATCCAACATGGGTCAATCACAGATCCACCTGTTGCATTCCACAGCAGCAGATAATCAATGTTTACATTTTGTTCCTGAGGCCTCCCGGCTTCTCAGGAGGAAAAATCCTAAGGAAAGGATTTTTCATAAAAAGATGTCTGCGACACCCAGGCAAGGGTCTAACAACTTCAGTCCCCTGCTCCCCCTGTGTCCACAATTCCCTGGGGGCAGCTGAGCAGCCCAGGGATGCCTATTCCACTGCTGGGGGATGGAGCAGGGATTTCCCTGGGCATTCCTGGCTGGATTTCTCATGGTCATGGCTGGTTGTCCCACGGCAAGCGATGGGGAGGGGAAAAAAGATTTGGTTGTTCCTCTCACTTCGTGGCCTCCTTGTTTTCTCCTGAGTTGTTCCTCTTTCCTCTCCCAGGAGACTCCAGGGATGGAAGGCCTGTATCCCAGCCCCAGGATGGGCTCTGCTTCCTGCCCATTCCCCAAAGCCACTGTGGGGGCTGATGGAGCAAGTTCCAGCCTCCCACGTTTCTCTCAGGGGATGTGGAGAGCCTCAGAGATGAAGCTCCAGCTCCTGCCATACTCTGGTTTATATCCCAGGCCGGGGAATCCAGTGGGAATAAAAATGAGTGGCTTTCATCTCTCTCCTTTGATGAACTGCACCCCGCTCTTGGGAATTAGCTGGAAACGGGGAAACGGCAGGAAAACACAAATCTGACACGGCAACGCGGGGAAAAATCTGCTCCTGCCGCTGCTCCCAAGGAGGGGACACATCCCACGGGATTATGTGAACCTGCTCTGGCTTTGAGGGCCCTTTGGGGGAGCTTTTCCCTTCTGCAGAGCCGCGGGGAGGGAGCGCCGACAGCTTTTTTTAGGCTGTGGCAGTGAAACACAGAGCCCAGCTCCGGCCACCCGATCCCCGCGCGGCCCCGGGACGGAGCGCCGGGAATCCGCTTTGTCCTCCGCCCGCCTTACCCAGGGAATCCGCCTTGTTCTCCACCGTGTCGTTCACCTTCCTGGCCACCCGGGCCACCGCCTCGCCCATCCGCCGGTGCAGGAGGGCGGCCGGGCCCGCCGGGAATGCGCTGTGCCCTGCGGGATCCAGGCTGGAGGGAGAAACCAGCCTCTCTTCTCCGGGAGAGGGATGCTAAAAATAACCGATGGGATCAGTGTTCCCAGGGGAGGGAGGGAGGCTGTGCTGGGGCTGGCATGTCCCTCGGGGTGAGATTCCCAGCTTTCCAGGATGGTGCTTTTGGGGTATGTAGGTGCATCCTATTCCCTGGCTTGGAATGAGGATGCATCCCCTTTCCTGGTATGGGGATTTGTCTCCTTTCTTGGTTTGGGAAATGAGAAAGCATCAGGGTGAGATTCCCAGTTTTCCAGGATGCTGCTTTTAGGGTATGTAGGCGCATCCTATTCCCTGGCTTGGGATATGGGGATTCATCTCCTTTCTTGGTTTGGGAAATGAGGGTGCATCCCTTTTCCTGGTCTGAGATACTTGGATGCATTCCCCCTTCCTAGTATTGGATATGCTGTTTTCCTGGTTTGGGATATGGGGATGAATCCTCTTCCCTGGTTTGGGACATGGGCATGGGTGTCCTTTCCTTGTGTGGGATATGGGGATGCATACTCTTCCCTGGTTTGACATAAGGGGATGCAACCCCTTTCCTTATTTGGGATATAGGGATCCATGCCCTTTTCCTGGTTTGGGACGTGGAGATGAATGCTATTCTCTGGTATGGGATATTGGGATACAGCCCCTTTCCTGGTATGGGATATGGGGACAGAACCCCTTTCCTGATACAGGATATGGGGCTAAACCCCCTTTCCTGGTATGGGGACAGTACCCCTTTCCTGATACAGGATATGGGGCTACAACCTCTTTCCTGGTTTGGATATGGGGCTACAACCGCTTCCCTGGCTTGGGGTATGGGGATACAACTCCTTTCCTAAGAGAGGATATGGGGCTACAACTCATTTCCTGGTATGGGATACAGGCATACAACCCCTTTGCTGATATGGGATATGGGGACAGAACCCATTTCCTGATTTGGGATATTTGGATGCATTCCTTTTCCCGGTGACTTCACTCAGCTCGGTGTAGCCAAAACATTCTGGCCGAAGGCATCCTGGGCAGGACACCAGGACACCAGCACCCTTCCTGCCCCCCTCCCAAAAAAAATACAAAACCGAAAAGTTCTGGCTTCCCACGCCGGGAGTCGAACCCGGGCCGCCTGGGTGAAAACCAGGAATCCTAACCGCTAGACCACGTGGGAGGCGCGGGCAGGGTGGCGCGGCAGCACGCCTGCCCCCTGGCGGCGGCGGGGCCGGGGCGGGCCCGGGGCGGGGCGGTCCTGAGGCGGGCCCGGGGCCGGGGCGGGCCCGGGGAGGTTCCAGGGCCGGTCCCGGGGAGGGGCGGTCCCGCTCCGCCCGCCCGCTCGGCGGGGACAAAGCGCGGCGCCGAGCGGGGGCCATGTCGTCCGCAGGCGGCCGCCAGCCCAGCCAGAGCCGGGCCATCCCCACCCGCACCGTCACGCTCAGCGACGCCGCGCAGCTCCCCGCCGACTACTGCACCACCCCCGGCGGGACGCTCTTCTCCACCACGCCCGGAGGTAAAAGCGCCGCGCCCGCCGGGGCCTCCGGGGGAGCGCGCCCGGGCCAGCCCGAGCGCCGCGTGTCGCGGGCGGACCGTGCGTGCCGCGCCCGTATCCCCTCTGTATGCCGTGGGTACGGAGCGCTTTCCGCCCGCTCTCCTCCACGCACACGCGTGGGGATGGGTTTGTTGTTTTTCCGGCAGCGCGGAGGGTCCCGGCAGGGCGGCAGCTGCTCCCGGGACGGGCTGGCGGGGAGCTCCCCGCGGGACGCGGGCAGCGGGGCTCGGTGCCTCGGCCGTGCCCCGGCCCGGTGCCGCGGGGCGGTGACACGCCTGCTGTCCCCGTGTAGCGCAGGGGGACACGTGGTGATCCGGGGTGCCGCTTCCACCGGCATCCCCGGGACAGGGTGAGCTTGCTCGGGACAGCGTGGAGCGCCCCCGGGCAGCCGGGACCCGGTTGCGGCCGGGGTGTTTGGCCGAATTATCGCCTGTTGTGCCCAGATAAGAGCGGGCAGAGCGGCGGCGCGCACCCCCAGCCCTCCCCGCCGATCCCCGGGCGGAGAACCTTGGCCCGTCCCGCCGGGAAACTCCTTCGGCAAACACGCGCTGCCGAACCGGATTCCCCCACTCTGCTCCCGTCCTCCCCCCAGGCACCCGGATCATCTACGACCGCAAGTTCCTGCTGGACCGTCGCAACTCCCCCATGGCCAAGACCCCGCCTTGTCACCTCCCCAATATCCCCGGCGTCACCAGCCCCGGCGAGCCCGGCGAGGAGCCCAAAGCGGACACCAACAGCTTGAACCACCAGGAGGGCAAGCCATCCATGGGTAAGGACCCCCGGGGCGGGACAGGAGGGATTTGGGATGGAGGATGACACCCCAAACACTGCTTCCATGGGTAAGGGACCCCCGGGGCGGGACAGGAGGGATTTGGGGTGGAGGATGACGCCCCTAACGCTGCTCTCCTTGTCTCTTGCCAGGGGACGAAGCTCAGTTCGAGATGGATATCTGAGCGGGAACCACGGAGAGGCAGCGACTCCCCAGCCCTGTGCACCCCCATTCGGCTCAGCAGGATCCGTCCCGGCGAGGTGGAGGTGGCAGTGGTCCCCACCAGCGTCCCCTCCCCGCCCTCCTCCTCCCCCTCTTTTCTGGGGGGAGTGCAGCTCTGTCTTCTCCCCCTTTGCGGGTGAGCGGTCCCAGCATGTGCCAGACGGAGCATCCCTTCTGGATCCGACCCTATTCCTCCTCTTCCACCTGCCAGCAGCCTGATCTCCACCAGGCTTCTTTTTAAAACATCCCTTTGCCTCTTCTGCTGCCTCGTGCCCCCACAAAATTCCCCTCTCCTGTTACCCAAGCCTCCCATGGCCAGCAGCTTGGTGTTCTGGAGCTGTGTCACCCACTGTGCCCCCTTCTCCTGGAAAATCTGGGCAGCCTGTTGAGAGGAGGGCGAAACACCACTCCTAAAATCATGCACCTGCTTGCACCCTGGGGAGGGTGTTTCTTGAGTTTCCCTGGGGTGTGTTGGCATTCAGCAAAGGACAGCACTGGGACCCTGTTCCCTTCGGTGCTCCAGGGGTCCGATGTAGTCCCTGATGGAATCAGCCAGCTTGTCCACATCTCTCCTATGTGGATTTCTTCATCTTGGCCCTCCAGCCAGGGGCTGTGTCCCCCACCCACCAGCCAGGACTCACAGCAATGTAGCCATGTTATAAAACCCCCTTGCTTTTATTTTTGGTACTAAAAAGGGGCACCTCACCCCCAACGACTTTGTCTGGGCTGGGGCCGAGCGCCTCTGGGAAAGTGCTTTGTAGTGCTCGGGATTTTTTACCCCCCAGCCCTTTAAAATGTGAATCCTACAGGGGGGAGATCCCTCTGGCACCGTTGGATGTCTCAGGAATCGCTGGGTGTCCCTGGGGGCTGTGGGGGCTTCGCCAGACACGCAGGGATGGGGCGCTCTCCCCCCTCGCAGGGCGCTGCCATTGATGCCACCCTCAGCTCTCAGGATGGCATTTCTCCCAGCTGGATCATGCTGTCGTGGATAAAGCATTTCCACATCGACCTCCCCTTTGCCAGCCTGGCATGGCGTGGCCATCTCGAACCTCCCCTGGAGATGGGGTTTCTTTTTGCCCCTCTCTCCGTGTGACTCCTGCCCTGACCAGCAGCGCTGGGCACGGCTGCGCCCCCCAGTCCCACCAGCCCCCCAGTTCTGATTTTTTACTGTTGGGAGCCATCACCAGCTCTGCAACCTTCTCAAGTGCCATTTTATCAGCCCCCACCTGAGTGCCTGCTGCATCCATGGTCCCTCCCTCGCTGGGGTCTCCCCACACCTCGTTACCCGTGCTGGGGAGCGAGACACCCCACAGGCTTTGTGCACTTTCCATCCCGTAATTTATTTCTCTAGGTGTGTTTGGCACGGCGCTGGTGGCCAGCTCCCGTCTTCCAGCTGCTTTTCTCACAGGGAGGGGGCGCTGCCCCTCGTTTTGGGGGTGGGGGAGGCAGAAGCAAAAGCACAGCCCCAGGGGATGGGGTTGTCTTTGCCATCCTTGCCCTGGTGTGGGAGGTGAGGTGAGCGCGGCAGCCGTGGGCGCACGAGTGAGTGAGTGCGAGTGGCAGCGCGTGTGGGTGGGTGGGTGGTGATGAGACACACACAAATATATATATTATATAGAAATAAATATATTTTCCTTGAAGCCAAGATCCTAGGAGGTCGGTTAGGCCCTCGGATCGAGGGAGGGGCAGGGGCAGGGGGCGAGGACATCCTTGGCAGAGGATACAGGCAGCTGGCGCCCTCAAGCACAGCTGCTCCTTTTGGGAAAAACCTGCTCTGCTAGCCAAAAACAATCAGACCATATCCAAGGACAATGTGACTTAATCGACAGGAGCCGGAGGGAAACCTTTTTTGTTGTTTTTTTTTTTTTTTCTCTAAATGCCCCCTTTCCCACTCTCCCTGTGTCTCCGTTCCCCATCCCAGCAACTTTTCTGCCCAAAGGTTCTCTTTTGTAAGCGGGCTGGGGGCTGAGCAGGGAGGAGTGCCTGGCCTCACCGGGGTGTTCCTCTGCTAGTCAGAGTCCCTCTGCTAGTCAGGGGCTCCGTTTGGGATTTCTGTTGTTTTGTACCGTCTCTTCAAGCAGGTGTTTGGGAGGAGAAAAGCTCTCGCCAGTGGTTGCTGTTACAGTGAGATCAATAAAGATTTTGGTTCTACTAAATCAAGGTGGTTTGGACTGTGATTCAGGGGGTGGGGAGGGTTTTCCCTTCCCTTTGGAGCAAACTCCCCTCATGGGCTCTCTCCCAGTCGTGCCCAGAGAGCAGGGAAGGGTCAAACCCAGAACCAGCAGCTGAGGGTGAAATTGCAAAATGTCACACACAAAGAAGCCTGATTTTCCCATCGGTCTCCCATGTGTAAAACTGGCCCAAACTGATCATTTGTCCTGATCTCAGCCCTGGAAGTCTTCAAGGACTTTTTGGATGGGACT